TCTCTCACAGCACTTTAGATCCCTATTAATTTTGGAGGCTGCAGGGTGGGGCACTTGTGGACCCCATTTCCCTTTCCATTCACATTTCGAAACAGGAGATGGATTCCAGCATGTACCACTGTTCTCAGTGCACTGTCCGGTAATGAGCCTTTAGAAGTTTTCTTATTTCCAAGTTCCTACTACCCTGCCTGCTTTGCAACACTCTTATTTTCCACCACTGCCCAGCATACACTGGGCCAGGCCAATGAAATCATGTCTGAGTCTAAAGCCTGTATCTTTTCACTGAGACATGGGACTTTCCGCAGTCTCTTTTTGCACTCTACAGCATATTGGCCTTAACACTGTATTTTCTTACTTTAGGGCACTGTGGGTTCAGGAAATGCAAACCACTTTTGCTCTCAGCCTAAGCAAATCATGTAAACCTGATATAAAATGAGCTGTTTTTAACTCTGACATTGCTAGAACTCAAGGGCTTTGAAGGACCATCTAGCAAAGACCTTCACCAGAGCAGACTCCTAATATTTACTCAATTAATTCTTCAATTGAAATAGAATATTTATGTTAGTCCCAATATTTCCTCCCCCACTAATCTAAGGGATTATTCATTGCAGCTTCGAGAGGTCCCTATAAATGCAAAAAAAAAGATGCTGCATAAGAAAATCAACCTTCTAAATTACTGAGGACACGCTTACATTACTGCTCTGCTAACTCATGCACTGTCAACAGACACCATGACAACTACAGAGCTGGGATAAGCTTCTCCCCAAGGGCAAGAGCACTCGGAACACCACCCCATTAGCAGAAGCCATAATAAAAGATCCTGAAAAGAAGTTACAAGTCACAAACCATTAAGCAGTCTTCTGTCTTTTTTGAACACTGAGAAAATACTAAAGACCAAGTCAATACTATCAAAAATCTCCATTGCCAGTATAAATCCAGATGGTACTAATATGTGCATAACGGAGACACACGAAGCTAGACTTTTACTATCTATAGCTGCTCTTCTGGGGGATGTGATTTGCAATCTATATCTTGGTTAAAAGTGAGCCATGTTAGAACAGTAACTCCTGAAGGGAACACACTTTCATAACTCCCTGTACTATATACCCTTCTTTGTTTTCCTTAAAATAGTTCATTTGTTAAAATTAGCAAAGCTGGGTATTTTAGGCCAACATTTTAGACTTACATTTTAGTTTTGCCTTTTTTTTTAACAGTCCATTTCATGGGGCCAAGTAACTTTTTAAAAAAAGTATCTGGAAACGTAAGCTACTGTAGTTGCATGTCCAAACACCCATTTTGAAATAGTCCTTTAGCCTCCTATCTTCATTCTCAAAAGCCTTGGGTATGCAAACAAAGATGCAGAGGGCAGAGAGCCAGTTAATAAATCTCATTTCCCATCTGCATCCGCATGAAACAGAGCTGTGGGGAGTACCCTCTCCAGGGAGACCCAGAGCACAACACATGCACTCTGTGAATTAAACAGTGTCACCTCAATTGCCCCCCTCACCATATTTATTTTTGAAGCAGTTCTTAAAAATATATGGATTTCTAGGGCTCCTAAACGCGGCAAGGAAGCTGAGGCCGAGGAGTCGATCACACAACAGTGGACATGAGCTGTGGAAATACATGTATGTGGCTTCACTGAGCCATTTTTGAATGGGATCTTTTTAACTGGAATTACTAATCTACAGGATATTTGTCTTTCTAATCAATAATGATCTGCCACCTATTTTGTTCCAGGTTGTAAAAATGGGCTGTTTACATTAACAGCTACCCCGTCATGATATCTGGGTCAGGAGTGACAGATGACTTATTTGTAAACAATCTGGTGCAAATGCTATAAAACCAGAAGAGTGACTGCTTGTGCATTAGCTGTGCCGCACAGTCCTATTTTCTAGGTATCCTCTCCTCCTCTCACATGCACTGGAAGGGTGGCAAAAAGCCCCCAAAAGAGCGCCTCGCCATTAACAGTCACATTCTTCTATTTACACTGTTCTTTCAAGAATTTGTTTTATGTGGTTTTAATTTTTATTTCTTGAAGTATTAGAGATGGACCTCAGGGCCTTCCATGTGCTAGGCAAATACTTTACCTCTGAATTATATCCCCGCCCAGAAACAATTTGTTTTAAATGTCTGAGGTTAACCTCACAACATCTCTGTGAGAATGGGACTAGATATCTTTACGCATAACAAGCAAAGGTAGAAAATAAAGCCTAAGATAAAAGGTTTGCTGGGTTCCTATTACAAGGAATTGTTTCTGGCCTCACCAAGGTCCTGGGCTCACTCAGAGCCCCAAGGGACTCCACAGAGAACTTTCAAGCACATCTCATTGTTGAGGGCTGTCCCTAAGCTTACAGTCTAAGTCACACTTTTACTTGGTTAAATCTCTACTGAGCTTTCAAACTGTCTTCAAGTTTCCTTAGCAATTAAATGGCTATATTACTCCAGTCTTGGGATGCCAAAATAATGATGGAACATTTCTGGAGAGAAAAAATGTGTCACATTTTTCCTTTCCCTATGTCTCTCCACCAAAAAAAAAAAAAAACAAAAAACAAACAACAACAACAAAAAAGTGGTAATCACATTACATTGGCTATGCACTTTGAAAGAGAAGCAGACCAAGGAAAACATCCAGTGTGTCTGCTTGCATCCTTTTGTGTAATGCAAGACAAATGCAATTTGGGAGACCTATTTCTTTACTTACCCTATGACACCTTTCACTACAGCATCTACTAGTCCTATTATAAAAAATACAAACACAGTGATGCTCTTAGTGACCTAAGAATTTGTTCAGTCAGATCATTATTCAAATTCAGTTTTGCTTTTTATATAGTCTCAGGTATTATGACAAGGACTCAGAAAGCAAACTGGAAATAATTCAGAAAATGGAAACTAATTTGGATCAAATTAAAGAAGCAAATAAAATTTCATTTCAAAATAATAATTTATCATCAGAAGGTAACATTGAACCTTTCTGTTAAATTATTTTCCACTGCCATTTCAAGTGGGCTCAGATGAGTAATGAAACCGACTGGTCAGCTTCCTTTGGCTTATGTGGTAAAATCTAAACTCCACCCTACAAGCAACTGCTACCTATATAGCACGAATTAAATCACTTAGGAAATGAGAGCTTCAAGTGTATTACTCCTAAGAATGGCTTAAATAAGTTTAAAAGCAAATCAATTTTTTTTCTTCCTAAATTCTATTTTTAAGCTTTGGGATGCTCACAGAGGACCAAGGTAGAGGAGTAATGAGAGAAGGGGCCCAACTTTCTAATCACGGGGTCTCCTAAGGAAGAACAGCAAGAGTTGTGGATCAATTTTGGTTTACATTAAGAGAATAACAAGCACTTGAAATCCCTAAGGATGCCATGTCAACACATTTGCTGGAACCGTGAGGCATGAGATTTTGGTGACCTCATGGGCACAGCCAAAATTAACTCCAAGTATTTATGTAACTGCCAGGGATGACAGGGCAAAGGTTGCTTATAATTTTTTTTGAGTCAACAAGCAGTGCGTGCCTTTCGTCAAAGAGAAAGGAAGTGGGGTACTTTCGGTCCCATTTTATGATATGCAACATTTATACACACAAAATAGTCTGCCCATAATACCAGCTGAATGTGTAGATGAAGGCTTTCAAAAACGGGCTATTTCCTGTTGCTTACTAGCAGAAAGGATGCGCATTAGCTTTAGTGGGATGTGTGCTCAACTTCAAAGCAAAACCATTGTTGGTGGTTATCAAGGTAACATTTAAGAATAGCTACCCCATCCTTGGTGGGGGGAGAACAGAAGGGAAAAAATGGAAACAAAGCTTTGTACATAAGCAGAGGAAGAGGTATTGAAGGGAGGGGTGGAGAATGGGGAAAAAAGCAGCAGCAAGATATATCAGGTACAGGTATAAATTCCCCATGATGAATGTTATTATGCATATCTAAAATGTGCCAATAAAAAAACTATGCTGACAATTAAAAAAAAAAGAAAAATAAATAAAAATAACTACCCCAGTACAAAAGAACTTCAGAGGAAATGTGACCAAAGCTATCAGTCTAAGTCTGGCCTTGAGCTGCCTTAGACCCTCGCTGCATTCTCCATTACATTGTTATCTTTATCAAACAATGCAAACAATTTTAATGAGCTTATCTACGGGAACATATTGCCAGATACGTTAATGTAAAAATGATGCCAACCGCACAAGCCAACGCATTAATCAAAAGGCTCACAATACAATGACCGAGATCATTCCCATCCTCAAATCAGACCTTAGCAAAAAACCAGGAATTACCTTTCTACTGGAAATGAGAAGGGCTCCCCCACCCTTGCAGACACCATAAACTCCTAAGAAAATGCATTAACAACACCCAATTTTTTCCAGGTCCATTACAGGCCAGTCTCTTTCTAAAAAATCCCGGGTTCGAAGGAGAAAATTTTGGTTTATGTCTGACACTGTGACCTTTGCTGTCAACCCTTGCACCAATCAGCGAGCGGAATTCTTACAAAGCTCCATCAATCTGGCGGTTTAACATCACAGCCTGCAGCTTAATCTAGAGGATTCCATCTTCCCTGCACGCTCTCCAGGTTAAGCGCAAACGTTTTTCTCGCCATCCTCCCATTTGTTTCCTCTGCCTTTTAGGCATAGCTACCTCACGGCTCCTTTAAAATCGAAAAAGGGAAGAAGGAAAGGAAGTGTTACAGCCTCTCTCTTCGGAGAGGGGGAGAAACAGCATGCATTTTCATCAATGTGGAAGGAAAGAGATGGAGGGAGAGACCCTTTGCAGGCAGCAAACCTATTCACAAAATGCTTTCCATCTGCAATCCTGAAGCCTTAATGCACGCCCAACGTGACACATGGAAACAGATAGCAAATAATCACGCCAGCCTCCACGCATGCACGTCTGCAGCCCGGGTCGCGGGCAGTGTCTGCTCCATTATATAACGGGCCGGATTTCCGCGCGTCCCGGTCCGCCGCGGTCGGCCGGCGCGCCCCGGTGCCAGCCCCATTACCTGTAGGAACGCTCCCCGCGCACTGTGTGCTTCCGGAAAGGAATGATGGTCCCGTTATCCTGGATGATGTCGTTGTTATTCTCGCCATTTGGGGACAGGGTTTGGGTCGGCCCAGGCATTGGCGCACTCCCGAGGAAGGGAATAAACCGCTGTGGGCTGGCTGGTGAGGACGGTGGCTGCGTCTTCCCGCTCGCTCGCCTGCTCGCAGGGACCGCGCCTGCCGCCTGCTCGCTCTCGCCGCCTTCTCCCAGCTCGGCTCCGCCCCGCCCCGCCCTCCTGCGTCCCGCCCTCCCGGCTGCTGACGTCAGAGCGCCGGCAGCAGCACCCTGGTCACGTGGGCCGCCAGTCACCATAGCAACCCGCTAACTCATCACCTCGCTTCAATTCACACAGGGCTGCGGCGTGACCACGCCAGCGGCTCCAGGCAGGCACCGAGGCAGGCCTACATCTGGCACGTAAAACCCCAGGCCACCCCGCAGCCCCCCTCGCAGACTAGCCTTGTCTGAAAACCAGCTCTTCCTCTAACCATTTCCTTTCCGACCCGTGCTCCAACTGCAGCTGTGTACACAAAAGAAGGATTCATGCAAAGGGGCGTGGGAGACCCTTTAACTCCTTGCGTACCACGTTTCGTGCCATGAAAATTAATCTTGATCATTTGGGGGGGATCTAAACAGGTCGCGTGGCCAGTTTCTAGAAAAGGTGTCCGATTAAAGGGGTTAAAATTTCTAGCTTCCTTCCTCACTCTCTAAAGCAGCAACCTCAATAGAAGGAAAAATAAATAATAAAATAAAAACACTTACGTGGAGGCTGTTTTTTTCTTCTAATCAATGTACAGCCTTTCCTTTAATAATGTGAGGATTAAAGATTTCATGTTAAGAGATTTTCTGTATAGAAGAGTCTCAAAAAAGGTGTGTGTGTGTGTTTTTTTAACCACCATTTTAGATTATCATAGTTAGAGCCAAGACCCTCCCATTCAAATTCTCTGTACTGCCTCCTGATACAGAATATTGATTGCGGGTCACCTATTTTATTTCCATGTAAATAATAAGTAACTACCTCATTAAATTTTGGGAGTCTCAGCATTCAGACTGTTCTCTAGCACTGTAATGTAGTTTTCAAACACGTTGGCTGTGAGTCAGGCGTTATTAATATCATCCCCATTTTAGAAATGAGTAAACTAGATGGTTTAAATTACTAAAGGTCGCACAGGTAGGAAATGGTAAAGAGTCATTGGCACAATGATGTACACTCAAATACTATAGATCAAGAATGAGAATCAAATACTTTAGCTACACTCTCAATATGACCACTGAGAAGATGACGGTGAATAGCACTGCACACACAGGAAAATCTGTGGATTAGATTGTACACTCTCTACGGACACCAAATGTACTCAGGTCTGTCCTCCAGCAAGAAAAGAGTTTGAAAGTTCTCTACTTATCAGAAGTGATCTCTGAACTGTCACGAGATGGGAAAGAATTGGTGTATAAAAGACCACATATATTTATAGCATAAATGCTATAAATATATGTGGCAGAAAGTACTAGGCTACAGCTCACTCCTTCCCATTATTGTACAATTTATCAGCTTCATCATTCTGTGATACAGATATTAAAAACAAGTAAAAACTCTGTCATTCCTGACAACCCTCCAGCATATGTCCCTGGTTATAAGTTATTTCTGGTATCAAGCTTCTGGAATTGGAATCAAATGTTTCACAACCCAGATGGTAATGATAATCTCAAACAAGGGGCCCCCTTTTTCTATTTTATACTCTCCTTTTGGGCTGTTATTTTAATAATTTTATGTTCTGCTTCCCCTGTTACTTCACTTGTGTACAAGTTAATTCCTTTGTTCACATCTTGGTTGATATGAGTATCTTTTCTTACATAATCAGTGTTCATTTCTGACCTCCAGCTGATATGGTTGGAGGGAGAGGGTAGGCTTGACTTTGACTCTCCAAGTACATACATAAATATCTAAGTATAAGAAATACACAGCAAGCTTCACATTCTACAGTGAGGTCAAGGGACCTAACAGGGTAGTCAGTGCTACAAAGACCCATGCTTGCTCTTACTATTTCTATTTCTTGATCCACTGTTGTCCATGTTCTTACTGATTTGGTCCCTATCACAAAGCTTCTCTTTTGAGGTGAGGGGTGACAGTCTGAAGTTGAAAGACACAGTCTAAAATAAAATATTCAATATTTTCAGAGTATGCTGTCACAATTGGGGTTCTTTAGTATAGCTTATTTTTTTTCTATGATCATGCCATATTTAAGTGATATTTTCGACAGAGCGTTATCATGAGGACTACACTGGTCAGAATTTGAATGTATGGCTTATTAATGATATCAATTTATGGAACAAATACTCCCACTTTGTTTCTAGGCTGCTCAGGAAGGTGGGGAAGATGGCCAAGAATTTGGTCCATGGGCTTAAAGGGGCGGGTAGTGAGTCAGGTGAAGGAGGTGTCTAGGAGCCCTTGTAAATCTTCCTCTACGACTGCTCTGAGCCAGATTACTATAAAGGGACCCGGAGAACTCTGGAGACTAGTGATTACCCTCAGAGATGCAGGGGTAAGAGGGGTAATAATTTGAAAATATTAAACAGATGTGTTTTCATTCCTCTTGCCATAAATCAGGTTACCTGGCAGTCATCCTCCAGTTTAGCCCTGGAGAAAAGGGAGGGCAAATTCCACTTTGGGAAAGAGGAAGATACAATATAGGGAAAGTGCCAAAGAGACAGGAAGAGGGGAGGGAAAAACCACACTTTCCCACCTTCATTGAGTGTAGGAAGATGGAAATGAAGGTGGGAAAAAGCAAGGTCACCCATTTGCAGGCCTCCAGGCTCATGTTCTAGAAGGGAGACATCAAAAAGGCTGAAAACGAACCCAAAACCCAAGAGACTTTCTTTTGTCTCTTTTCACATAGATCTAGGAAACAAATGCCTAGAAAAAAATGTTTCAACAGCTCTCTTTCTCCAAAAGAGGCAGAGTTCAGTGACAGTAAAGACTTCCCTTCTCTAAACAGGTGTGGCCCCTTTACAGTGAAGATTGATCAATGACTTGATATGGTTGGAGGGAGAGGGTAGGCTTGACTTTGACTCTCCAAAGTATAGAAACCTGAGGTGGAACACATCTACAAGTTTCTGTCTGCCCTGTAGGGCACAGGAAGGAGGTTGAGTGCATAGTGCTATCGGAGAGCTGAGTTTATGGTCCTGGTCGTGGGAGGACACATTATTACAACACCCAGTTCTATCGGGTGGAACTGCTAATGTAGAGCCTAATAAATATAAATAGCTGCCTCTGAGGAAGCTACACAGTGCCAGGGCTATGTCTGTTGGGAGACACTGAAGCGGAAGTGTTCAGCACAGGACACTAGCAGAACGCTTGTGGACAAGGTCAGACCAGCTGCTCCTCAAGAGACTCATGTATTGTAAATCCAAGGACCAGCATGAGACCAGGAGGTCCTCTTTGTGTTTCTACAAGCCCCTATCCCATCCTACAGACATTATCTTGCACAGGGGTTAGGGAAAGAGAAGCAGCACATCTAAAAGACTGAATATTTACCCAAGAACAGGGGCCATCCAAATATAGCCGAAGATGGAAGAGGTTGTAATACTGCTAGTGATCAAGTTTAAACCTGTTTCTGGTTCTTCAGCCCCCAGCAGCAGAAGGAGAGGAGCACAGATTGGGGGAGGGATGGCTAAACCATTTTTGTGCATCTGACTGTGGGTTAAAGTTTAGTTTAATGCACACAGGTAAACTTAAAATTAAGTATGTGCAGCCCACTTTCCGGCATCTCCATGTGCCCATGGAAAATGGCTCCTCTCATCAAGCACCATGATTAAAGTATCGGCTCTGGCAGCTCAGGCAGACCACTGACAATATAACTTTGGCAAGTTATTTTACATCTCTAAGATTTAGTTTCCTAATCCATAAAGCAGGTTTAATAATAATGGTTCCACAGTACTGCTGTGGGGTTAAGTGTGTCTAAAGCACTTGACACACTGATGGCATGCAGCAAATCCTCATTAGTGGCAGATGTTATTATTTTAAAATAATATGTTATGCCCTAAACTGTTCATTCATTCATGTAACACAACTGGTTTTCTTATGTACTAAGAGCTGGTAAAATAAGACCTCAAAGAATCCCCAGGGTAATGGGGAAGCAAGGTAAAAATAATTGGCATTTGTAACTACCACATAATTACTATGGTATCCTATAGGGTAATGTGGGACCATAGCAGATGAGCACTGGACACCAGAAACTGGGAAGTAGATCTGAATAGTTCGCCCAGGTCACTGATGATACCTGATTTGGATGAGTAATAATAGTAGCTTTTTCTGTTTCCTCCCTATGCAATAGAACACAAGTTCCCTGAGGAAATGGGCGCTGACTGTTCTATTCACTGCTATAGTTTAAGTTCTTAAAACAGGGTCTGGTAGGTAGTAGCCACTAGATAAACATACAATTCTTTAATTTATTCAAAAATTTATGAATTGATTCTCACAACAAACACAGTGAAAATAAATTAAGATTCAAAGAACAGAAGCAACTTGTCCAGGATTAAGTTGCAGGTTTTCTTGGCTTAGGCATCAAGCTATGTTGTCATTTAAAAGAGGAAAAATGGTAATATAAGGTGAAGATAAAGCAGATATGCTTAGTTATAGAGCGATGGGGAGGATATGACATGTCTGGGGAGCAGCAGGTTTTTAATATGCAGTGAGGAAAAGGTACACAGTGATGGGAGACAGGGCAAGAGCCAAGGAGAACAAAGGTCTCATGGCCAAATCGAGGAACCTGACCCTGGTTTTGAAGATGATCTAGAACCATGAAGTGGTGGAGGAAGAGAAATTGATAATGAAATGTATATCGATCAGGTGATGCTAGCAGCAGTGTGTATACTGAAGAAGATCAAAATGAGTCAAAAAGTGATGAAAACCTACAGAAAGACGGAGGTCAAGGGTTTGCAGAAGAAAGCACAAATCTGACGTATTCAGAGGGCATTATATTTAGGGTCTGGTGACTAATTGGATGTGGGCATGGACATGGGTGGGAGTTAAGGGTGGGTAGCAAAGGAGAAAGAGGCATCTCAAATGGATCTCAAGTTTATGCTTGGGTGACAGCATCATTTATCAAAGTTAGGAATATAGAGTAAATTCTTATTTTGGAAGAAAGGTTCTCACATTGTCTTCTGGACATAGAGAAATATCTATAGGACATGCTAATAGTCAATGGGCTTCACATGTAGTAGGTG